TGCTTATACTTTCTTTGTAACTGCACCAATTATGTTATTGATATTGCTTTGAGTTTCTTCCAGTCTTATTTTATCATTTACAATATCTTTAATCATTTCATTACATGCATTCTTAAAACCATCTGATTTTTCTAATTTACGTCTATCACTTTCTTTAATTAAATCAAAGTTATAACCTTGTTGAGAATAAAGTGGTTTCTTTATCAATTCCTTGAACGCTTCTGAAAGTGAAGATGAAGAAATTCTTGCCACTTGAATTGGTTTAAATTCTGCTTTCATTGCTTCTTTCTGTTCATTGAACACTGGATCGAATAAAGCAACTTTAAAGAATTTCTTAGCTGGAATTTCAGGTCTCAAATATGCATATTGACCATCAAACTGATTAACATATCGTGGTAATCCATCCGGTCCCTCTTCAATAGCATTTAATTCTTCATTGAAATAAGAATATGGATTATAACGGTATGAATTAATTGGACCATTTTCACCTTCTCCAATGTATTGTTTAACAGCTTTTCCATTTTCATCAAATTGCATAGGATAACGTTCATTATATGCTTTACGTTTAGGATAATCAGATACAGTTAATTTATAACCATTTATGACTTTAATATTACCTTGACCATCAGTAACGAAAACTTCATTTATACCATCAGGTTTTCCATTTGGTCCTGTAATGTCTGCTTCATGTGCTTCCCAATTTGGTCCATGACGTTTGGCATATGCTTGAGCTTCTGGTAATGTTAAAACGTTTCTCATTTGTTTAACATCCTTTTGAAGACCGGCAACAATGTGGACTAATTCTTTCATTCCGTCTGGAACTTTCATAGTTCTATTATATGCACCCTTTTTGTTTGTCCCTTGTTTTAATGGAACCTGTAGAAGATTTGCTATTTCAGTCATGTTTAATTATAAATAAAAAATAAAAATTAATTATAAAAAGTTAATCAAATTTAACACCTCCTTTATTTAAATCAACTATTATTTTTCCATGTTCACCTAATTGCTGATATTGTGTGTAAAGTTCATTAATGCTCATTGGTAAATTCACTTGATAAAGCATAACGTTCAACTGTTGACGACTAAACCCACTGAAAATGAAAAGGGTTGATAGATTTGATTTAATGTTTGTGCTTAATGCTTTGAAGTATTGAACAGCCATGAAGAATGAACACTGAATGTGTCGACATTGAGTTAATAATTGATTAAAATATGATTTCTCATTTGTTATTAGTTTTGATTTCACGGCATCATCTAGAAAAATTAGTGAATGCAAAAATTCTTTATCAAAATTTGAAATAGAAAGTGTTTCAAATAATTCATCCCGTTGTTTATCAATAATTTTATCCTCTAATCCTTGCTTCTTGATTGTATTATATAATTCTTTATACATTAAAAAGTTTTTTAAATAATCTTCTGCTTCTTCTTGTGATAAATAAATAATTGGAATTTTGATTAAATGCTTTAAAGATTCAAATGTATCATCTGAAGGTGAACCTGAACGGTTGATATAAATTAACACATGTGAATGGGGTGAAGTGTTAGCAATAATGATAATTTGTTTTAATATCGTTAACGTTTTACCTTTATTTTGTTTACCAATTGCTGCAGTGATTGAATTTAAGTAACATTCAGAATATGGAATTTTCATTAATTTTTCCTTAGATAGAGCATTTCTATTATCACTCAATGCTTCATTAATCATATCATCTATGTAGGTATTATATACTCTGTTAATTCTTCAGAATTTAAATCCATTTAATCAAAAATAAATTTATAATTTTAAACATTTCTATTCATCAATATTTCATCATATGAACTTCTATACTGTGGTGGTGTACCTGTTGGATGATATTTCAAACCTTCATCCGGTGTCCATGTCCAATATGTAGTCCTAGTAAACCAAACCTGAGGAGGATTTGTCACCTTTGAACAGTAAGTGTCATTTACACCCCGAATGATTGGATAAGCTTTCACTTGTACTGTAACTTGTGAGTTGAAAGTTTCTAATCCATCAAAGAATATACCCGCTCCATCACGTTGAACTGGAATAGTGCATAAGAATGAAGTTTGGTCTTTCCATGTTCTAGCTAATGGCGTGCCATCATCATCATTCAGTGGTCTAGTTAATGAGTCCTCGTATTCTTCTGTGCATTCATTCACTCCATCTAAATCAGAAGCTTGAAGCATACGTGTAAAGAATATGTCGCCCACTGTGGTCATCGCTTGATCGGGGAAGTTTCTGGAATCTATAGTGACCTGAAGACCTCGAAGCATTGGATTTTCTAAAACTGTTCTTTGCATTGCATTTTCGGAAATGTTAACACAACATCTGTAACATTATGAAGAGCATATGAGAAATCTGAGCTAATACCTTCAGGAGTGATGCAACCTCCATTTAGTGAACGAACGTCAATATGTTGAGCTGGAATCATGAATGGATCTTCCTTACTGAATAAACGTGGTATTGCTTTAACTGATTCTTCAATTAAACCGTATCCTGGTGTAATACATTTATCCTCTAAAACTTCCATCTTTGTGCATGAAATAATAACGTCATCAACTGTTGCGTCAGCAGATGTAGCGGCTAAGCTTGTAATTAATTTGGCAGAAAGTCCGATTTGTTGGAATTTGCGATCATATTTATAAACATGATTCATAATCTTTTCATAATTTTCATCAGTTATCTTTTCATAAACGTAATTTTGTAAATCAGCAACTCTTAACGGGTCAACCTGACAAAATACTAAAGTATCCCTGAAAACATAATATTTAAGAATGATTTCACCAAATGATTTAGGATAATCATCGAACGCCTGAAATGCTAACAAATCATTTACCGGAATAATCATATCAAAAGTGATATCAACTTCTTCATTTGCTTTCTTGAAAACTTCTGAAGGGTCAATATATTTACCACATACTGAGTTATCATATTTTTGAACATTATTATATAACGAATGAACAAACTTTTTAACTTTCCTTTCTGATTTTGGTTTATATGTTGCAAATGCGAAAGATTCACGGGCGCAATCCATCTGAAGATAACCGGCATCACCTCTTTCGGTTTCTACTTCTAATTGTTTAAAGCTTTGATTTGATGATTTGTAACCAACGAATAAACGCATGCATTTAAAAGCGGCATCACATGTGAAAGCTTTATTTGAAACTAGAGTTGCTTTAACTTTGCGTTTAATATATGTGTCACCTAATTGGTTCACATCATGAGCCGGATTTGTAATTCTTAAATGAGTTTGTTTATCATCAAAATATGGAGCATCAGAGTCATAGCATGAACTTTCAAGTTCTCTATAATATCTTCTACCATCATTCTTTGCGAATATTTCATTTATCTTTTCGAATGAATGAAACACATTTCCATTAATCGGTTTAGTGTTTGGCACCAAATAGTTAGTCGTCATTTATTATTAAAAAAATCAAAATTAAAAGATGAAAATGAATTTTTAATTTTAATGAAATAATCAACTATGGCTGCAGGTATATTTAAGAAACTGTGGGATAAAGTAAAAAGAGGAGCGCATAAAGTTTGGGAAACAATGAAGAAAGGAGCAAATTGGATATTTAAGAATAAAGAAGCAATTAGTGACATTGCTGAATCAATAACACCAAAAGCTGCCCCAATAAGAGAAATTTTAAATAAAGGAGAAAAAGTTTATCAAAGACTACAACCGATACTAAGATAAAAATAATATTTATTTTTTCCACTATCTACCTCCTATTTTATTAAGTATTCCTTCAGCAATTCCACCAATTGCGTTACCTGCTTGTGCTCCCATCGCCGGATTACCTGCTTTAGTACCTAATACTCCACCTATGATAGTTCCTGCCGTTTTCGCTACTGGTGCCAAAAAGTTTGCAACAGGTTTAATAACCTTTTTATAAACCCAACCTGCAGCTTTCTTAATTCCATCCCATAATTTTTTAAAGAATCCTGCCGCCATTTCTGATTTAATATTAATTAAAAAATATATTTCATCACTTATATTCTAATTTTTATTTAATGATAAATGAAACCAATTTTAAAAATAAATGAAACAAAGGAGGAAGAAATAAATGAAAGTGAAAATGTTCAACAAAAAATAAACGTTGTTAAACCAATTACTGAAATAAAAATTTTTTCATCTGTTGAAGAATTTAATGACTATTATGCTAATAATAAAAAATTATTTGAAGAATTGACAACATGTAAATTGAATAAAATGTTTAAAGTTGATGGATTCAAAATTTCAAAAATAAAAGGAGTGGTTAGTTTGAAATCCATTCCTCAATCAAGAATCACCTCATTAATGAAAATAGATGATTTAACAAAAAGAATAGAAATTATTGAAGAGCGAATGAATCAAATAATTAATTTCATAAATTCAAATAATCATTAGTTTCAATTTATTTTTAAAGTTTATTTTTACTCATGAAAATAATTATTTCTAATTTCTTTTACTCTCTCGTACATACTAGATTTGAAGAATTCAGAACATTTCCCATAATCTCCTAAATGTTTTCTTATCTTATTGGTTTTCCATTCATTATATGAAACTGTATAAACTTTATTTTTATCTTTACATCTTTCATCACTTCCAATATATTTATATTTCAATTTTGATTTATTGGTTTCATATTCATTAACGTTTAATAATTCACAGTCTTCCTTTTTAAATAAATGTTTTATGTATTCGGGATTAAGAATTCTATAATATTGCTTCCCTTTAAATCTTTGAATATAAACAGGAACACCATCCTCTAAAATTCGATAATCTATTTTATCTGGTTTTACTTGTTGGGTCATTTATGTAAGAATAAAAAATAAATTATGTTTAAAATTAATGTTAAAAATAATGATACAAAATCGTTCAATATTGTATGAATTCTTACGTTTACAAAAAAAGTCACATAACCCGTCCTATCCTACTACTCATGTCCAATTGAATTTTCTCCATTCGGTTCTTTAATTGATGTATTTCCATCAATCGTGAAAGCATTCGTTAAATAATAATCTCGATTAGAAAATTTTTCTGCAGATTCGTTGTAAACAAATCCACTACCTCCACCAGCTCCATCAGGAATATATTGTTGTCCATAACCACCATACCAGCCACCTCCTCCGCCAGCAAGGGGCCATTTCCTCCTTTCCAAAATGCAAAGCCTTCAGATTGATATTTTGGTTTGCCCCCTTTTATGCCACCGCCATATCCACCGATTTCGATATTGCGATGAGATGTATCAAATCCTTGACCACCACCGCCACCAGCCACAATTATTCTTTTCGTTGGATCATTTTCAATCACCCTAATATCCGTTCCTCCTCCACCTGAACATCCAATTCTGCCATATTCAGAATTAGATTCTGTGGATCCTCCTCCATTGAAACCACCTAATGCTATTTCATTTCTAGCAGCATATCCTGGGCCACCAACGTTTATATATACATTGGTTTCACTTCTAAGATCTAAAATGCCTTCAGAATAACCACCCCTTCCACCTCTATCTCCACCGCCTTGGGCACCCCAAACCTGAAGTTTATATTTCCCAATAGGGAGGATTTGTCGGATAGACTTACCCGTGAAATTGTAATTATAAATAGATATGAAAATAGGGAGACCAAACGAGAAAAACATTAAAGCTGTGGTCTGTAAGTAAACTTCAGAATTTTTTGACGGTCTCAAATTGTAAAGTACTTTTCCTCGATATCTGATGAACATTTTTTGGAGTTGATGAAATTCTGAGGTTAAAAGATAAGTCAAAATTTTTAAAGTCATAATTTGTGGAAATAGAAAGTACGTATAATCCCAGCGAACGAGTACTTTTTGAATGCAAAATTTTCTTTCACTTTTTTTCTCAATTTTTTGTAAACATCTGAAAAATAAATGATAAAAGTCGAAGTCTTTAAAAGGGTTTAATAACAAATCCTCCTGAACAACTTAATAAGGGAGGTATGCTTATTATCATGCTATGTTATTTTTGAATTACAAAGGAAATATATTTTGGAATAGAAAATACCCTAAAGTAATTTTGAGAAGGAGAGCTTCGACCTTTTGGATTTCTAGAACTCTTCCTTAATAAATGGTCTGGGCGCTTGTAAAGTATTCAAAAAACAATGTCAACAAATCAATTTTTGTACCCACCTCCCATTGGGAGGGGGCATATATCTTGTAGGGTTCAAGTGATGAAAGTGCAAAAGAAAGCTCCTTAATCATACTGATAGAAACAGCATTAGGAGCGCCCCCCTTAACGAACAAGTTATCTTTGTCATTTTTCCAAAGAAAAAAAAATAAATAAATTTATAAAATTTTATATAATGGAACAATGGTCAGATTACGTCCGTACTCCTCCAAGCTTTGGCAGCACCCCTAATTCATTAATAAACTCTTCAAATACAGCAGTAACTTCACACGTTTTAGATTCTGAATTATCTCATTTAATTTACTCTCTAGGAATGCAGGATACTTCGCAACTAGCAGGAATGGTTGGCCCAAGTTTACCAACTCATGGTGATAATTTCAATGAAAACAGATCAATTTTAGTAACAAATGTTCATCCAGAAACAACTGAAGAAGAAATAAGGACCATGTTTTCAAGTGGAGATTCATTATATAACATTGACATGAGTAATATTAAAGAAGGAAAAGTTACTCTCGATTATTACGACTTAAGGCAGAGTTTTCGAGCTAAAAAACTATTAAACGGAAATGTATTACACGGGAATGTCATTACAGTCGACTATGCTCCAATTGTTGTCGATAAATCCGACCCAAAAACACAGAATCATGGAACAATTGCGATTTTCCATGTTAAAACAGCAACAGATGACCATATTCGTGCTATTTTCCAAACTTACGGCGAAATCAGAGAAATCAGATCAACACCAACAAATCCAAACCAGAAATTTGTTGAATTCTTCGATATACGATCAGCAGCAAAGGCTTTGAAGGCTAAAAATGGAAAATACATCATGGGAACCCGTGTTAAAATTGAATTTAGCGCTCCTCTAAAAGTAAGGAAAGATCATCGTCCTCCAATACCAAGACCTCAATAATCTCATATTTTGAAGTGTTTTTTACAAGAAATATTTCAAAATTTTATTTTTATGTCAAAATTTTCTTTCAAAAATGTTCAAAGATGTTGATTTCCTAGTACATACAACATACATAATGTCTGTTTTGCTTTAATCCTAACTGATTCTGGTTTTTATTTTTGATATTTTATTATTCCTTTTTCAATCAATTCTTTATCTTGTTCTCGGCAATTTTTAATTATTTTCTAGTACAAAAATTTGAAATTTTTGTATAAATTTTATAAAATAAAAATATATTTAATTTTCTATTCAATTATATGATCAAGAAGATTTTTTGTGAATAAAGACATGTTTTTGCCTTTATTTTTTAATTCAAATCATAAAAAAATCTAAAAAATCTTTTACAAACAAGTTCAATTGCATCAAATTTATTCTTTAAATTACCATTTATGAATATTTACCAATATAATTTTCTAGAAATTTCAAGAAATAACAAATTGATTATTTTTGTTTCAAACTATGTATTAATTGAATAGTTATTAATTCATGTAAAAATGATGATTATCAAAATAAATAACAATTTAATTTACAAACAATATAATTCTAGTTATTATTAACGTAATTTCGAATAAAATCATTTCTTTCTTTGGCTAATTCCAAATCTTTCTTCCTGTATTCATCAATACATGGAAGGATTTCGTTTTTAAGCTTTTCTAATTTTGGAATTATGTTTTCAAGCTCTCTTCTATAGTTATTAAGTTCTTCATTGAATGGCCCGCTATCACTGATCTGTTGGGAATCTGATATATCCAATCCAAGGCTTTTTAGCTCTAATCCAAGCCGATCTTTGAAATCAAGAGATAAATATCTATGGTATGGTATGTGCGGAGCCAGCATATGCTTCTTCGGGTAGTTTCGTTCGGCTCTTTCCCTTGCTTCTATCGGACATGAGATAACCATCGAATTTAAGAGCCTTACAAAGGTAGAAGATGAGATTTTTTGCTGTTTCTCGATCTGAAATGAGATATTCTGTATTTTCCATATTGAATTTTCCTTTGCACCGTTGGTTCTTTTTGGTGGATCTAAAACTTTGGAGTTAAAACGTCGAGCTTCATCTGTGTATAAAGAAAATCGAACACTCCAATGCTGTCTTTCATGTGGAAGGATTTGGGGAGAAGTTTGCTGAAACAATTTTTCATATTCTTCTTTGGAACGAATTCCTTGAAAAAATATATCTGTGTTTCCCCATATTGGCTTATCTTGTGCAAGTGTAATTTTTTTCTTTGGATTTGGAGGGGGATGGAAATTATTCTGAAAATTCGGAGGGGGAGCACTAGGAAGTTGATGAACAGGCCTGTTCATTTCCATATTTTGGGGACGAAGAACCTCATTCCTTGGTGGTGGTGGAGGAATAAAAGTATTTTTCTGAATAAAGTTTGTGGGTGGTATATTAGTCGAAAGTTTTAATCTATTATAAGAGTTATCGGCTGATACTTTAATCGATGTTAGTTTTGTTTTGAGATCTTTGAGAATTATGATGAGATGCTGTAGTTTTTCGTTGGATAAATGATCTATGTCATTTATACTTTTGAGTTCGGCAATGATGTTCTCTGCTGCTTTGAATTGTTCAATATCAGCATCAGTCATCAAAGAAAAAATTAAAAGAAATTAATTACTAATCTGGGAAAAAGTGACATTATGGAAAAATTTTTCAAGTAAGATTAAATTGAAAATCTATGTAAGAAATGGTATGTACAATGTGCGTATATTCTATATGGGAAAATCTGAATTCGATTTTTGTGGTTTTTTTAATTTTTATTTCTGACTTTCTTCGGATAGCAGTTTAAAGTTAATATTATATATTTTTACTGCAAATCATACTTATTCCGTCTATTAAAAATATTATATCAAATGAAAATTCTCGAAATGTTTTTTAAAAATTTGATAATTTATAGAAAAATAAAAAAAAAAAAAAAAAAGGTAGTGGGGCCTCCAGGCGCGTTGCGCCCTCTAGCCCTGAAGATGTTTAGTATAAATGAAGTTTTTATTCGGAAAATTGTTAGTCTTCTGGTGTGAATTCGGAGGACTCTTCTTCTTCCTCCATTGCTTCTGGGAAGAAGCCTTCTTCTGGGTCGAAAACATTATATAATGTTTCACTTTTCACAAATTATATATGTTTTCATGTTTTGTCACTTTTCTGTCACTTTTCGGGTAAAAACATTTTTATTATTATATATAAATGAATTTTACAAAACCTCCGTTACCGTTCTTGGAAATAAGAGTAAATGTAAAGATATTATATTGAGAGAACTTAAGAAACTACCGAATGGTCTAACATTTGTAGATTTGTTCGGTGGAAGTTTCTATATATCCCATTTGTGCCATACAATATTCCCAGACTCAAAGATTATATGCAATGACTTCGACAACTATATGGACCGTCTCAAACATATACCAGACACAAACAATATATTGAAAGAGTTAAAAGAAAAGATACCTATAGGTAAGATGGAACGTATACCATTAGATAAGAAAAATATTGTGAGAGAGGTTTGAAAAAAGCAGAATATATAGACTGGGATAGTATATCTGCTAGACTATTATATAAGTGGTATAAGAGTTCATGACATTGAAACACTTATGTCAAAAGTTTTATATCTCAACTATACAAATGTTTCAAAGAGGACATAGAAAAATATATTGAGGGTATAGAGTTTGTGAGATGTCATTGGACAGAGTTGTATGAAAAATATAAAGACAAGGAAAATGTTTTCTTTATAGTGGACCCGCCGTTCTATAACACATGGGATTTTCAATACCAAGTAGACTGGACTTTGAGAGACTCTTTAGAAACTTTAGACGTTTTACATAACCATCCATGCTTTTACTTTACATCCGATAAAAGTGGTTTGGAAACCGTTATGAGATGGTTAGAGGACATACATGACTATGAGTTTAGATATGACAAGATAGAATATGAGAGAGGTCCTATAAACTGGAGAAAGTGTCATAACAAAGAAATTTTATTAGTAAGTAAATGTGGTTTGAAATAGGACTACTTGTTTTAGGTTTTTTCCATTGTGTCATTTATTTATTTGACGTGGCAGAAAAGTACAGAGAATATGAAGATGAACCAATGCCTGCAAATGTTCAGTATATGTACTCGTAAGAGATATTTTTATCTAATATTAAATGGACGCACAGAACTTAGCGAATGCACAGCAACCTGGACAACCAAACCCAGAGAATATTCCAAATGAAGTTAGAATACAAACTGCAATGGCAAACTATGGTCAAGTGCCAACAGATGTACAAATGCAAACTGCCATGTCAAATGACGCTGCGTTAGGTTTGCCACCATGGTATGCAAATATGAGATGGAAAGAGTTTTATACAAACCCTGAAGTGGGATATAAACAACTTTATGCAGATGACGCGAACACAGGAGTTGACCCAGAATATGTTTTCTACCAGAGGAGAAACAGAATGTATGAGCTCCAGTTAAAGAATGCTATGGAACTCAACAGGAAACGTAAGAGACTAGGCGGACATTAGATTTTTACATATAGTAAAATGGGTTTCTTCAGTAAGATAGGAAACTTCTTTCGAAATGTTGGAAGAGGTATATGGAATGGAATAAAAACCGTAGGAAGAGGAATTTGGAACGGAGTCAAAAATATTGGTAAAAGAGTAGGTCAGTTCGTTGGTATTATACCTAAAGACCCTGAACCAGAAGAACAAGCTCCTGTTATACAACAGCCTGAACCTGCACCACAGTCTAGTTGGCAACCAAATCCAACACCTCAACCGTATTAAAAAATTATATTTTTACCGTTCGATAGTAGTTGTATATGAAACTAAGTTCTAAGTAAAACGCATGGTATAATGGAATTATTCTTTTTCTTCCATCTGTAGTAAACCATACTTGAAAGTCTGAAATACTTCCACTTGGTGGTTCGTATAACTTTGTAGGTTTTTCGTAAAAGTCATTTGCCAAGCATAAGAAAGAGTTTTGGGCGCCAGAAAATGAAGCATGAACAATAATAGCATCTTGGTCGAAAACATTTTCATATGTTCCATTAGGGTTTTCGACTTCATAAAAGTCTGGGTGTACTGGATATGCTGCAGGCTGATTTAACATCCTCATAAATCTATACCATGCCAAGTTGTTATATTTTGTAGAAATATAAACGTTTTCTCCAAGGTCTTCTATTCTATTGATTTTAACAGTTGCATTTTTCCTGTCATAAATAATATCGAGATGGTACTCTCCCTCGTCAATGTTATACTGGTTTGCATATTCGATATAGATATCGTTTATTTTTTCTTGAAAAGCTTGAAGAGTTGTTTCTAAGTTTACAAGCAAATTCACTTGTAAAAGTTTTCCCTGTTCAAATTTCTCATACATACGTTTTTCTTTGTTATAGTATCGAACTTCAAAACCGACCGTAAATGGGAAACCATGTATGGCTTCTGAAATGAACTTCATTCTACGAAAGCCAATAGCTTTTGTGACAGATGGGTCTCTTAGCCATCTTAATGGGTAGTCAAAACGATAGCCTTCATGCTTTACGGTCTCTGTCTCAAACTTTTGACCGACATTAGTAAAAAGTTCATCTAATGGTTTAGTTGTAGCAACTCTTGAATTTTCTTTTTCTATTGGAAGCATATTTTATCTAGAATAAAAATGTCGAAAGATATTGCTTCCATAAGAGAAATACAACACAACCGACAACTCATTATGCAAGCTCTAAATAAGAACACAACAAACTTTTCAAACTATTCTAAGATATCTGAGTCATTGAAAGAAGGAAACTTAAAACTGACATTAAACCCAATGACAGATGAGTTTCTATTTCAAGACAAGAAGAACAATACTGTCTGTATAAATCCAACAAAAGGAACTTTAAAAGAGAAACCTATAAATGAACTTCTTTTGAAAGCAGATGTTGACAACAAAGCTGACAAAGAATATGTAGACGATGCAATAGCAAAAGAAGAAGAAAGAGCTAACAATGCTTATGCAACAAAAGAACATACTCATCCTGAACTAGCAGACAAAACATATGTTGACAATAAAATGTCAAGTGAAGTGACAAGAGCTGAAAACGAATATTCTAAAAAGACTCATACACATTCTATATCTGAAATAACAGACTTAAACGTTAGCCTTGAAAAGAAAGCGGATAAGGAATATGTGGATGAAAAAGATAACGAAATGAAAGAAAGGGTTGACTGGTACCATGAATGGACATCGAAGACTTTTAAAGTTAAAGCCGATACAGGATGGGTTTCAGGATGTTTAGACCTTAAAGCAGATAAAACTTATGTTAACGATGAGTTAGAGAAGAAAGCAGACAAGAACCATACACATACAAGTTTTACAACTGTTGCTATAGAAAGTATTGAAGGAACGGTTGAAGAAACTGGTGGGGATGCAATATATTGTAAACCTCCTAACTTTCCACAAGGTTTAACATCGGATGACGACATAACGACGATGAGAAACATTAGATGTAAAGATGTTTATGTCATGAAGGATGAACATAATATTAAATTCACTGCTCAAGATTTATATGACAAGAAAGCAGACAAAACAGAGCTTCAAACATTAAAGACAGAAATACTTCAAACATTATATCCTATAGGCTCTATTTATACGTCAATGAACTATACCAGACCAGAAGTAGTACTTGGTTTTGGAACTTGGACTCAAATAGTCGACAGGTTTTTGTATTGTGCAAACTCTTCAAAGGAAACAGGTGGAAGTAAAACGATTTCAGGTGAAAATTACCTGCACATAGTCACTACATAGATTTAAGTACATCTCAAGCAGGTTGGCATAAGCATAAATTTTGGGATTGGTCAGCAATGACAAAAGGTAAAGGATATGATGTTAAAGACAACGTTCAGTTTGCTATAAATTGTTTCTGGGGTAACACTCAGGGAGATGGAAACCATACACATCGCGTTTCAGGATATACGCAAACAACGGGACAAAGTAAAGACTACATGCCACCTTACATGACAGTTTACGCATGGTATAGAAATGCTTAGTCGTCATTTTCAACTTCTTTAGCATATTCGTCAGGAGTTGTCTTATATTTGTTAGGAACTGTCTTTGAAAGTATACCACCTTGAACTTTGACAAGTTTGAAACGAGGTCTGACAATAGTAGTTTTATCTTCTGCTTGCAGTGTGTACATTTTGCCATGTTTGCCTAAAACTTCATAATATTCTCTTGTATACTTTCTTCTATTTTTACGAACACGAATGTGAGTACCTGTCGGGTTCCCATTGTTGTCATAGTCAATAGTATTTTCATATGGGTCGCGTTTAGGTATTTCTATTTTTACTTTGTCACCTTTCTGAAGTTTGAAGCCCGGCATTCTTTCTTGTTTGTCTCTTTTGACTAAATTATTAAATATATAGTCTTTCTCTAAGTCAGGGTTGTTTTTCATTTCTTCGGGGGAGTGGTTTCCCAAACCTTTTTGTTTACGGTTATTGTAAATTTAAAACTTGTCTCATCTTTGCCATGGAGAAGTGTCTATATTTGTCGTCATATGACATTTCATTTGCTTCACCACCTTGTGGTTGGTTTAAGTCTCTTAACATTTTTATACAACCGTCAATGACACAAGAGCAGA